TTGAGGAAGAGGAAGCTGAGCTGAGCTTTATAAGATTAGGTCTTCTAACATGGTTTTTTTTTTTTTGAATTATTACAACTTCATCCATGGCCTCCAATACGACAAGGTGTGATACCACTGACAAACGTTGACCCTTCTTGTTGTACTCGCATCGTCAGAGAATGGTCCTAGTTGTCCGCATCGTCAAAAGGGTGGTCCTAGTTGTTGTTGTCCGTTGGGCACCGCACCACCATGCATGAGCGACCATCAAAGGACCGCCGATCGCTACTTGATGGACTTTTATCGTTGGAGGGCATCCCATTTGATCGTAGGATTGCAACTGTTACCGGTCTCACGCTAATTGTATTAAGTTGCGCTAACTCTTTGTTCATTTCCAAGAGCCAGTGAGATAGAATATATAGAAATTCGACCCTTTATCCGTTGCCCGGAGCTGGTGAAATGAAGATATGTAGAAATGTGTAGCCTTTTGTCCATCGTTGAGAGTTGTGTAGATATAATAAGATTAGCCCGTTGTTCATTGATGGAAGCCATGCAGCAAAATAGGCTCTTTATCCATTGTTGAGAGCCAAAATATGTAGCAGCAAACATCACTGTAGAGGACATAACTGTCAAAAACACCCAACTATATTGTGCAAATAATGTAGCCGTATTTAGCCATGTGTGAGGAAATACTGCTGAAGTAGAACATGTTTGTATCATTTTTAGCAAAATGGGTAAATGTCACTTTTTGCGATATATAAGAGAATAATGTTGAGTACTGCTTCTGACAATGTTGACTCCATTGCAACAATCAGTAGAGAATAGGGACTATACATGCGATGTGGGAAATGAGCATTGTGAGCCATTGCTAATGTAGGTCCGCACACGTCATTGGTTTTACTACCACACAAATTCATCCCTCAACAATTTTTAATCTTGTAACTTTTAATATATATATATTTTTTATCCTTCAACAAATTAAAAATATGCATATTTAGATAAATTTAATAAATTAACTGATAAAAAAATTTTAAAAATATATTTTTTATAGTTAAAGGATAAAAAAAACATAAAAAAATTAAAATATAAAAATTATATAAAATTTTAAAATTAAGGGATCAAATTTATCCAATATTAAAATATGTTTGGTACAAACGTGACTCACGTCCGTAAATTACCGATATGACAACTAGCTGGCTGTACTTTTCCGGTGCGAATATGAAGACTTGATTCTTGTTGGTAATGTGAACATGCAGACTTGACGAAACTTAAACCGAGAAGAAGTTACCAACGTGGTTCAAGTTGGAAAATTGATTTTCTAACATACTTTGCCCAGCGGCCGACGTGGTTTCTCGTCGGTAACTCAATACATTCCGGTAGTGAAAATTTTATTACAAAACTTAAACTTTTTGTAAAATAATTTCTAAATTTTCATATTTATTTGTATAATCACTTTTATGATAAAAAGTAAAAACTTTTTAATTAAAGCCTACTTTCACCGTCCAGTACTTGGGGCCTATTGATCTCTTTTTGCTAGATGTGCTTAGAACTATCAAAACTTGAATTCTAATTCATATTACCTTTTCTCTTTTCTCCAAAAA